GAACTAACCTACGTTACGAACTTATCAGTTAATGCGATAACTTAACGGATCCTGTAGATTTTCGGGGACGCGTAAAATCAGCAAATGCAACTGGATGCTCCAGTAAGAGTCAGGCGAATAGTGCGAGAGACAGAGAGCAACGGATCGAGAACGCAACAGAACGAATTGGAGGTATCCAATCGAAATTCCTTCGCCAGTTAATAAATTGGGAGACTCACCGGAGCTGGTGCAGCTGATCCGCGAAGGCCGGGAACTGCATCCAGGGGTCACTCGGGTGGGCACTGCACTGGGGCACGGCACTGCACTTCCGGAACACTCACGGTCAATCCAGAGAATTTCCTGGATATCGCGAGAGCAACGCGAGAACTACACGAGCGGGAGCTTTCTATGCCGTATCGAAGCACGGCTAGAAAAACTATAAACAGACGGCACGGGAGCGCGAGGCAGTCCGTGACACCTCGGTCGGTGCCCCGAGACAGACTGTTTTGACAAAATAGCCAAATTCGAGAACTAGTCATTCCGATTGGCCGAGATCCTTATAGCCGATTACTCTTCCTTTCCCTCGAGTCGTCTCTTTAAACCAAATCGAGAGCGTTCCTTAGCGAATCGGTACGTAACTCCTGGAGATCCTCCACGGCCGATTCCTCGGGGCATCGGCCGACAGCTGGGCACCGCATCCTTAACTCGGGCAGGAGGTTCCTCCCCTGGCCTTAATCGTATCAAAACCTTTGCCCGTCTCCAGCGGGGCGCCGGTATCTCACCCGGGCTTCTGCCGATCCTTGGAGACGTCTCCGTCGGGTCGTCTCCCCATGGCAGATTCAAGCACCTGGACTTCAACTAAACAATAACGAAGTCTTACTAGAGCATTGGCATAACTATACGAATCAGCCCGAGAGCGCAGCTTCGATCAGGGTGGCGACCCGAAGGGAACCAGAAAGCCAGAACATTATCTGTATCGGTAGCCGGAGTGGCCTTGTGACCGTGAATCCAAAAATCACGTCACAATATATATGCATATCAAACTTAACTTTACAACGACACGTTATCAATAAAAAAAAAAAAAATGAAAAATCCAACAGAAATCGTGTCCCGTGTTAAAGCGGGTCTCGTAAAGCTTGAGCGTTCGAAAATTTGACAATAATTCGCGAATACAGCGACGGGTGTGTTTGCAAGGCCGGTTCCGTGACCAGTAGGCAGAACCACGTGGCGCTGCCGAAGCTGTTTGTGAACGCGGTTTTACGAGCTTGCGCTACTCGACCGATACGGCCGCTGGCCGAACTGCGTGTTGTAAAACAATTATACGGTGTCGCCAGGCAATCGATATATCATCAATTCCATTGTCATTGCCGGCAATCCTGCGTGTCATGATTATTGTTTGCACCCGGGTACAATGAATGCCGGGTGTGAGGATGGTCGGCCTGAAAGGGCTGATAAACTGCGCCTATTATCAAACCACGTGGCACTTCGGACTTTTACCAAAATTAACGCCGCCATGGGCATTCGCGTATAGCCGTGTTACGCCACAGCGGACGGTTAATATATTTCTGGACAACGAGCGCGTCAACGTGCATTTGCGACCCGATTATCAAGGTAGCCCGGAGCATTGCAAGAGTCATAATTATCGCGTAAAATAAAAGTACACAGTTTTCCTAAATTACGGCGAACCTTTTTTTTTTATCAATTATTAATTTTCAAGATGGCTACTGACTCGGTCAAAACGAGTCGTTTCGTAAAAAAAAAAATTTGACAATTGTCGTTATCTTCTAAAATTTTTATATATACATACAGCATACCGTATATAGTATACATGATGTACATACGTGCCCTTGGTCGTAGACAATGATTGCTCGTAAAATGATTAATTTGATAAGTCCGGATCCCCGTCCGGCTCTGTTTGCCGGGTAGTAAAAGTCTGTTTGTTCGTTCGGTTATTCGTTGGCGCTTGTTAGTTGCTCGACCGAGGAACGTAGTCGCTGGTTAATGGCGTCGCTGCTTTTAAGACGAGTAATTCAATCATCGTATATATCGGTCCTGGTTGGATCCACCCTTATTTCCTGTCCAGAAGAGAAATGCCGTATCTTTGCACACATCGTAAAAAATCCTTAATACGACTGTAACCCTCGGTCATTTTGTCCAGAATAACTTGACCCGCGAATATCATCGTCTCGTTGGAATTCGTCAAATGGGATTCCTTTGCTACGCCGTACCTATCTAGATAAGCGACTAATATCTTTCAAAATTTCATTATGGTCGAGTTATAAAAATGATTTATAGCCTGCAAGGAATCCTAGGTGAAAGTCGATCCTAGGTAAATTTAAGTATTTACAATGCGAATAGGGATGCCGATGTCTGACTTAAAAATCATTTCAAATTTCCCGCTCTAATTTCCACGGCAAGCCGAATCGTTCAAAAATGCGACGTGACGCTCCTGGTGAGCGTTCCTGTGGCCTTGAATAATTTGTAGAAGCTGATGGGGAAAAAAGTCTCGCGATAGAGTCCCCGTAAGGGATTGTATGTAGAATTATAGTGCCTTATATACTTTGGCAGGCTCGGTAAATAGGTTAGGTTAGAAAAATCATAGGACAGAGGGAGCGTAAAACAGGTTTTAGGATCGGTACTTTTATACTCGCTGAAGTAGCTGATGAGCTGTGCCAAGTTGCTATATATATATATATATATATATATAGCTCTCACTCACGGAGAAATATCTACTCTCCACTCTCCGTTCAGGACGACAGTGGGCATCAAATATTCAGGAGTTACTGATGGGCCCCGCCACGCCTGTCACACCTCGCATTACACAGGTTTCTCGCCTGGCAGCCATTTAGCTGATTTAGCGAGGCGCAGGAAAAACACCCTAGCGCTTTTCGCGCCGGCATGTTCTACGGGCTGTGACACGCGAATCGAATTTGTCAAAGACGCGATTCTCCCCTGACTGCCGCAAGGGTAGCGACAGCTACGAGAAGAATAAGGCGACTGTCGCTGCTTTATATTGGAGCTTGACTACCGGAGTCTGAGGATACATCGATCGATCAAACGAAAAAAAAAAAAAAAAAAAAAAAAAAAAAAAAATTTTTTTGGAAAAAAAAAAGATCAAACGAAAAAAAAAAAAAAAAAAAAAAGAAAAAAAACATTTTTTTAGCGACAAAAAAATTTGAGGAAAATCACAAATACGGCAGAGATACCCGTGACCGTTTATAACGGGTACGTGTATAGGGATTAAAAATTGAAATCGGGCAAAAAGGACAGTCACCCTCAAGTATCCCTTGGATGGAGTCGATATAATCGGATGAGCATTTGTTGATGCGCGTGTAATCAAATAAGTCTTCCCCTCGCGGCAATCAGCATATATTTGTATGCAGTTGCACTCATGGTGAAAACGAGTTCTAAATGATGGGTAATTTGAGAGCGGGAGTATAGCGGAGGCCACCCCTGGTACCGGGACCGAAACCACCCCCGATGGCCTACCGAACGGTATTACAGAGGCTCTATGGCGGCCGAGTGGTTGGAGCCGGCCTGAGTAAGTAATATAGGGGTTGGCTGCGACCCTTCCGCCAAGGGTTGTATTCTAAGGGCATGAATTTCGTTGGCCTTACTCTCCTTACTGTTTTACATTGCATAAGTAACGCCAACCTAGAAACCCTCGAGGACGCCCGGCGCCCCGACGCCTTTACCCGACTCCGCTTATTTGCCCCAACCAAAATGGGATATCAGACTATTGCCTGCGAGGTACGAGCCTGGAGCACCCGCGGCATTCCAAAAGTCCTGTGGGCGAATTTGAGATTATTTTTTTTTTTTTTTCCAAATAGCAATCGATAGTGCAAAATTACTTGGGAATCTGAATACTTTTAACCGTAGCGAATCGATGGTCAATTATTTTCCATCTGCCTACCTGATAACGTTAACTCATTTAATTGAGCGAGATTGCTCGTGTATTAAGTACATAAAAAAGTTGTTACCTCACATGTGCGTGAGAACTTAATGCTCGTGCGATTAGCCTAATTACTGTTTGTTTCTTGTACAACGATACGCGAGACGGTTTGAACCACGAAGACTGATTATAATAATTATGTTATCATGTTAGATACGTTATCTTCGAACTCGATCGTGGTTTATATTTTTGTTATTAATAATTTTTGTTTTTCCTATTTCGATAGTATAAACTCGCTTCGAAATTGATCGAAATCATGATGGTCGTTCCCGTCTGGATTTTATGGAATTGTACAGTGCGTGGGTCTGTAATGATCTGACGTGGCATTTAATGTGCCTTTTTTACAGGCTGCTTCTTTTGGACTAGTTAGCACATCGATTCGACCCAAGTCAGATGAGACTGACAGTCTTTCCGCCGGGCGTCTGACTGACAGACTGCAGGCTGCTTCTACCTCGACAAGCTAATACCCACCTACGGATGGATAACCACCTTTCGCATTCGCAACCCGGCACGGCACGCACGGGGCCCCCTTTTATATTCGACCACGTCCGCGAGAAAGACGTGTTAATCAAAATGTTAAACAAGCCACTTACAAGGGACTGTGACGTTTCCATTTAAAGCCAGGTTCATACGAGAGACGGGCCCGACTGCCAACTTGCACGAGTTGGTACAGTCGCGTAGCAAATTTAAATGGACCCCGCGATGTCTGTCAAAAATATTTTATTCTATCATTTTTATATTTAATATTTTTTGCAAATTTTTTACCCTTTCTTTTTTTTACTCGCCAGTTTTATTATACGCGAAGCGTGTGGTTTTTCGATTTTTCACGTATCTCAACGTTATAGGCACCGGCTATCCGGTGCAGGGTATAACAGGTGAACTGCTTCCCAGTAGCGAAAGTACAGGCAGGTCTGGCCGAACGCCCCGAGATATGCAGCCCAGCGAACTCAAACGCGCAGACAGTCGCGAAACAAGTGGACTTCGCTTCTGGTTCTGTTTGCAGAAGGAGCGGAGCTGTTTCGGCAACGCGGCGCAAACGACGAGTGTTTGTCAAATGTTTGATCGAAATGTTTGTCATTTCCGAACCGTACCGAAATTAAATGCAGTGTTTGATTGGCAATATTCCGAGTGTGTGTACGCAACTGTCGAGTCGGTGGATGCGGAAGGAGATAAAAGCACGGTAGAGTGACGTTAAAGACTGTTTCATAACGAAATTGTAATTTCTTTTTTTTTTTTTTCAAAAAAAAAAAGGACCAAAAATATATGAAACATCGCGTCCAGGACGAAACGAAGTTGCCAGGAGTCAAAGTCACTAGGGGTCTTCTAGGGAATGGTGCAACTTTTTTTTTGAAGTTTTATATATTCTTTTTTTCATTCTTCCTTCTCACCATTCCTCTCTCCGGACAGTACACCCGTTATTATCGTAACAGTCAGCCACTGAAACGTTCAATTATCCACGCGCTGCGTCACGGCTCATTGTGACCCGGGTCCGGATTGAGTGCGCGTGAAAAGAAAGAGGGTTGGCTGGGAGCAAGGTGGTCTGAATGAGCGTCAAATGATGCTGAGTGGATGTCAGATACTCGGATTGTCCGTGACTCGACGTTACAGGGAGCTGCGGCAGGAACGGTGCGGAACGGCAGCGGAATGAACCACGCGTCGCTAATAAGATCTTAAGGCGCGCGCGGGCGTGTATTTTGACACGCTCAAAGTGACAGACCAATTACGTAGCATGGGTCTGATGGGTCTGATGGGCCTGATGGGTCCGATGGGTCCGATGGGACGCATCAATGGTGCATCGTCTCACGGCCATTATCCTCGCGGATGTGTCCAGGTTTTGGACGTCACTTGTAACACGCAATAAATTGCTGTAAGCTGTCAGGATTTTTCTTTTTCGGGCAGGTTTACATTGAAAAATATTACCGTGCTATTTTTTTCTCTCTCGAATAGGTAACGTGAATGTTTTTTTTTTAATCCCATTTCTTCAAATTCGCTATCCAGCACCGTACGATTGTCTAACGGGTGAATTTTATTTATTTTTTCTCATTCGAATTTCCAATATCGTGATCGTCATATTTTTCGTTCTAACAGCGACCTAACTCATTCTACACTGTGGCAATGATACGTCTCACGTGTTTATGTACGTTGTTTCTCTTTTTCTTCTTCTTCTTCTTCTTCGCTCATCTCCGTCACTCGTCCCACCTACCAGGGTCCTCGTCGACATTCTGTAAAGTTAGGCGAATGAAAAAAGTTGCCGCACTCTCAAGGGAGCGTCGGGCGTAGTTAGCGGACTTCGGAATAATCTTCATTGAAAAAGTTTGTTTAAATCTCGCTACGCGGGAGTATGCTCGTCGCGATATGAGAACGCTGCCAAGAGTCGGTAGACGTTCAAGAATATTCGGTCGTCGAGTGAAAAGAGAAGAAGAAGTAAAAGTACATAAAAGCCAGAGCAAAGGAGAAAAGAGGGAAAAGCGATAAATTCGTTCGGACTGAGTTTTATGTATTTTCAAAATAAACAAAAAATCTACACAATTCCATAGCTGCTGGTGAATACATGAAAAAAAATTTTTTTTCCTTCATTCTTCGTCACTGACGAAATAAGCCACGAAAAATTGACACTCGAGAACCGAGTGACTTTGCCGTCGGATTTGCCGATTTTTCGCATTAGCCGTTCATGCCTCAAGGAAGGCTGGATTCGCGTTGGGAATCTGTAACGTCTATACCTGATGTCTATGTATATATAACGGGTGGGCATATATACATGTATTTCTTGTTCGATTCTCAAGAGGGTGATTTTACGGGTGGATTCGTGTTCGCGCGACTTTACCAGGCACCCTCTATCCAGGTACTGCACTGTATACCTGCTCTGGGAAAAGCATCTCCTGTTGCCAGGAAAGAACAAAGGACACCGCCGCTCCAGTTGCGAACACCTTTCTCGATCCCAAGTAAACAGCTTGTTGGCCGAAGGCTCCAGTTCCACCGTTCGAGCGCTCGATCTTCTCATCTGGCTAATCTTTCCTAGAGTGCCGACTTTTAGCGGTCCATTGTCCGGGGTTAGGGATGCTGATGATGACACATTGGAAGAAAAATACTTTGAGCTAAGAAAGTTCGTAAGACTCTACAGGGATAAAAATCTTCTAATGGTACTGTACCGAAGTGAACGTGCCATAGGTATCGTATTGGACTATTAAAGTTATTGATACCTTCGGATTCGAGAATTTTGTAATTTTCAGGAACGAGACTGTCGGGATGGGGATCGGTGAGAATGCGAAGTGGATCGCTGGGGGTTTTGTCAGAGATAAATATTTTCACGTTTATCGACAGGATTTATATGAAAATTTGAACGTTTGACTGATAGCTCACCGCCACTTTTCTGTCCATATATATATAAAAGTGTTATATACCTGCATATAGAGTTTATATATATCAGGTATAAGGGAGAAATATTCGTGTAAGGGAATTTGCATAAGCCGCGTGAAAGTAATACAGCCGAATGCTGCTTCTTGATACTTTTTTATGACTGCCTTAAAAAAAAAAAAAATAAGTATGCAAAATGTGAGAAAATCCAAAATTCTGAGTTCAGCAAAAAAAAGTCTTAAATATTTGAAAATTTGGTCCAGTCCATTACGCCCAGAGGTCGAGCCTATAGTATTTAATAATTTTGGTTGACGCCACGAACATCTGCCGCTCGCAACAACCCTTTCCGAATTTCCATTGCCGAGCGCCACCTCCTGTCAGGCTATTGTTTAATTAATCATTTTGTATTAATAAAAGCTCGCCTAATGAATTCACTGATTTCACACCGTTAATACGGGTTTAATTTAAATTGAATGAAGTGTCGATCCAGCCACCCCCTCGGTCCGTTTCTGCCAATCCGCCTCCCCATTACCGAGTAACCCCTGACCCTCTTACTCGCCACCCGCCCCATTCGGCCGATCGTTCTTTTTCCCTTGGCTCTTCTATTGATCTTCATTCCCTCTGCTAAAACGCTCCGAAATGGTTTACTAAAAGGTGACCTATTTTTCATTGGCATTCCGCACGCGTCCAACGAGTTCCTTCCTCGCCCTGGCGCACCCTTCTTTGCCTCTCCTTCTTCATCTTCTTCTTCCCTCTTTTTGCCTCTTTTTTTTCTTTCATTATATTCCACCGTGCAAATCGATCCGAATTTACTTCGGATTCTCGATACAAACCATTAGCCGTAACTCCCCACCGCCATCCCGTTCAGAATCACTGGCAATCAAGTTAAAAACAATAGTGCGTTATCAGTGCGATATAAACCGACCAATATATATATATATATAAAGAAAGTGTACGGAGTCAATCAGATCCCATACAGTAGAAATGCATTCCAGTTGTGCAATACGATATCCAGTACGAACTATAAAAAAAAAAATGTGGTAAAAATTTTTGAAAATTAGGTAAACACTCAAGTGCGACATAATCAAGCCAGGCTTTTATCTGCACTCGTAGGCAAATTAGCTTATAAGAGTTCACCTGCATTTCCTGGTCCAGACCTGGACCCGGGTCTCCACGATGGCTCTTGGGAAGTCTCAACGAGTGAATCTTATTCCTAGTGTTTACTAGTAGGTGCTCCAGGCTCGACGCTTGCTCTTCGAGTAGCCTCGATTCCGGAGGCTCCCGTCAGGGTGCGCCACGGTGCTCGCAAGCTTCCAAGATCCATAGGCGCCGCCGCGACGCCTCCGGCAGCTTTCAAGCTCATGGGAGGAGCGAAAGAGGCCGCACCTCGGCTCCGCCCCTACACCATCATCCCCTAGGAGGCGCTGCTGTCGATTACCTCGGGACTTCTCCTAGGAATACCCTCGGAGTCTCACCTTACGTGGCTATTATCCGTCTTGGGCGTTCAGCATCGTCGCGCTCTCCTTTATTTTCGTAGCTCATCCAGACTCCGAGCTAAATCTGACATGGATTTTTAGCCTGACAATTTTTGGACAATTTCAAAGCTACTGCCTTCCGGTGATAACGCTTCTTTCTTTTTGTTATTCGGTGCTTTCAATTTGGCTGTCGCTATTATAACCAGTTGGTCGATTCCGTTCATCGGGTCGTTACGCCCCCTTCCACTCCCCGTGGAATGATGAATTAAGCTCTTTTGATGCTCGTGATCGCAGGGGATGCTGAATGACTCCCTGACTGAACGAGATACACTGATACTCGTGGCATAAAACAACCCAACCCCCCCCGCCACCCCTCTCCGTCTATGCGAAGGTACTCCAACAAGGTTCAATGACGTTTACACCGGGATCGTAACACCCGAGCCGTAATCATTCGTTCTATTTAAAACCTTCGAAGTGGTAGAGAATCGACGGTACAGTCATTAACGAAAGCTATACCCTCGTAAACTGTGTAATTAACAAGACCGTACGGTAGCAGCGTACCGATGGTTTAGCGAGTAGAATCAAAGGATGGCCAAGTGCCATTTGAATAATTCAAAATGTAATCCGAAAATGCAAATCAAAAAAAAAAAGAAATAAAATAATTATTAATCGAAGTAAAAAAATCAATTGAAAATTCTTCATTCAACTTAATCACCGCACCGACAAGATCCACCGGTACGAAAAACCTTGTACGGCCAACGGCAAGTATCTTTTTATTTTCATCGAGCAGGAGAGGCCGACTCTTTTTTTTTTCTCGCCCCCTCGCTATCCCACTCGGCACCCAGGAAGTCGACTTTCTCTAAGCTGTAAAGGGTCCCGCGAAGTTTATTCAGTCCGCCAAACTTTGTAGTACAGCGTGTCCACCGCCAGAGGGCAGAATTCCGGTAGATAGAGGTATAGGAACCCGAGCTGGAATACCAGGGTCCGAACATACCTCCCAGCACACATACACGGGTCGCGCTTTGTCCGGTCTCTCGGACGCAATTAGGGTGGGTCTCGGCCTTAACCCCCTCGGGGGTGCCCTGCGCTAAGTAGAAAAGCGTGTAGCCACCTCCGGGCTCGAAAGGTCGTGGGTTGGCTGGATGCGTGGACGGTTGGATGGACAGACCCACGGACGAACGGACGCCGACTGACAGCAGCTGACTACCGTTCGACCCCCCCTCCGCCCCTCCCCCCCGTGTCATCCGGTCCCACTTCCTCGACTTACGCCACTCACGTAGCTCCTCCAAGACAAACATCAACGGGGTGGCCTGACCATGAACGCCCTTGCACCAATTCTGCCACCTGGAGCTGACTCCGTCCCGGGGACCTCGTAGCAACCTCAGAAGGGTACCAGGTTCGGTGCTGATTTTCACGGCGTTACGTTGTACAAAGTGTGTTCGAAAGTCGTGGAACAAGGGCGGAGTAATTTTTTTTGTAAACTCACAATCCCTAGCACGCGACCAGGTTTCAGGAGGGTCAAATATAATGGCGGACTCGCCCATAGCGATACTCTGACCCCTACCTACCCCTAGACAGTACCGACAAACTGCTCAGGACTAATATTACGCGAGTACGTACATACCATTACACATCCCCAGGAATGCCCGGCACGGTAGGTACTACGATACGTAGGTCGGTCGTTTGGTATCCTTTGGAACACCCCACAAGGGGCTCGTTTATCTAACCATCCCCAAGCCACGAGGTTTCCCCGTTTCGCAAGCACGTGGTTATGCCCACTTCGTCATCCACCGCGCGGCCCCGCCAAACACGTTGCTCCCTCCCCGCAAGTCCCGGATCCCCCTCTCCCTCCGCCCCCCCCCCCTTTAAATTGTGAATAATGCTGATTATGTAAAAAGACTTTACGAGATGTTATTACCATCGTTACGATTACGACGTTATACGACCCCCAGCGGTACTCGTATAAGCACACACCCGCTTTACCGTCCAACTACGCCTGTTTCCGCTGTACCTCCTAGACCCGGGTACAAGCTCAGGACCAAATTAGGAGGAGCATCCGCGGAGTTGACAGTCCAGGGTACCCAGGATCCAGGTGTCGTCTCTGCAGTCTGAACTGTTCGCTCTGGTAGAGTGCAGCTTATTCATCGGGATGAAGGGAGTCGAAAGGGTACAGTGGTA